CCATCTGGAGCCTCTGGCTGGTTTGGCCCCGCTCTGAGCTATCTGATGCAGAGCTGTGACACATAGTACAGACACATCCTCTTGGGTCTCTTGTTCCTCAGATTTATGCAGCAAGTACTGCTCTTCCTGGCTGCCTGCCTCTGGTGTCTGCTGACAGGGGTTCCCCTGATTTTCTCTCTCCCGAATACACACAGGTCTCACAAACTGTACTGACATCCTTCCTTTGCACAAGGTCCTTATTCTGCCCAGTCCACGGACTCAGAGGGGCATCCTTTTAAGTGTTTACTTCATCAAGGGGTCTCATTTTGTGCTATACTCCTGTGCAGGGAGGATGGTTGTCACATCCATCGTCTTAGCTCATCTTTCACCCAACTGCCCTTACTCTGCTCTTCCTCAGCCCTTCCTCACTGTCTTCAGCTACAGTTTTTTATAGTAACTTCTCCAGCTTCTTCCCACAAAAGAGCTGATGAGCAAGTTGCTTTGTCCACACTGTGCAGAGCAGACATATTTCACAGCAGACATATTTCAAGCCAGCAAAAGCTCTGGTCAGATCCAGGTCTCCAGGTTTCTGCACTGGACCCATCTCTCAGAGGAAGCAGCCTTTAGCAGCTGGGCAGGAGTGTGTTTGCTTTCCTGCAGCTGGCATAAACTGGAGAAATTTACTGCTGTGTTGTGCGTCCTGGCTAATTCGGGACAAATGCAATCATGTAAAAACACTTGGATGAAATCCTCGTCATTGAGTGGTCTAGAACCTAACATAGTGAAAATCAGACATCCTTGTTAAAACACACTGCACTTGCAGTCGTGTCTGTGCGTCAGGAACAGTTTCCCACGGAGAAGTAGTATCAGGCAGCTTTTTGCAGGAGTAGAATGTGGCTGAGGTATTTCCCTGCAGAGTTTTGTAAGAGGAATTAATCTGCTGGGAACTGACATGGCATTTCTGCCACGAGTAGTACTTTCCATATGTTTTTGTTGCGGCGGGAAACAGGAGTAGGAAGAGTCACGAGCACCTGCAGGAGCTTGAGGTGACTGCCTGCAATGTTCTGGGGGGAACATCACTGCTGGGGAAGGGAGAGCTGGGGCTACCAGCCTAAACTGGATCACAGTCCCTTCCCAACCTCCTTACTGGAATGTCTGTTTACTCGTAAAGCTCCTATGACTGCAGACTGTGACTCAGGTTTCTCATTAACAAATATGAACAAAAGTAAAAAGAACTTTTTAGCTTAGAGTTAAAAGTTTGGGAATAGGTGGGTTTGTGAAGCGCTGACCCTGCCATGATGCAGAACCCTCCAGTCAGAAGTCATGGTACACATTAAAGGGACTCTTACTGGACTCTTACTGGACTGTTTGGTCCAGTAAGAGATCCTCTAACACTGGGAAAAGTCTCTAGAGAGAACCAGATTCTTGAAAAAAATGCCAAGAGTTTTCAACAAATTCTCTCTATGGTCATTGGATCCCAGGCTTTGGTTATTAAAGTTCAGGAACATGAAAAGGACACAAAAAGCAAGAGAACACTACAGTTGTAGATTTTGTAGTCTGGACTGATTTGTATCATCAGCTGATTATATAACACTAGCTATAATATTATATTACTAATATTTATTACATTGTATATAATATGTATTCTCTATTGTATTAGTGTGAGATTATGTATTATATTATTAAAATAACAGGGACTCCTTAGAGCCATTTTCACAAGCTGGAGATCCTTACGGTCTTGGGAGATCATTCTGCAGCCAGAAATAGCTAAAATAGATCTAGGTTTCCCCAAGCTTTGATTAGCTGTGCTTACCATGCATTCTCTTGACAAATTACATTGCCTCTCCCAGGACAGGCCTATGTGAGTTAAGCTGGCTATCTGTTCCTTTTCTTTCTTTTTGCTACCACAAGTTTGTAAAAACAAACCCAGTCTATGCTGTCCAGAATATGATTCCATCAAGAACAATTCCAAATATTATCTCTGTCTGAGGTGAGAGAGAACAGCATGATTTCTTCCATGTTATTTTGAACACATACCAGTTTATGGCAATACTCATTAACTGCTATTGAAAATTTTATCTGAAGAATACTGAGTTACAAATACTACATGGGAAAAAACCAGTCATCAGGTGCATAAGCAATGTTTTAATGGCTAAATTTTTTTCACATTAAAATCACAGTATGATCAGTATCTGAGGGCTAAGGATGCTAAATTCCAGCAATGTTTTCTGTTCATACTAGTAAACCATAATGTTGAGTTCCTGAGTAAGTGGGGCAGAAATCCATAAAGTGAGTTTCTGTGGAAAAAAAAGAAGATATAAACATAATGAATGAACAATTTTATGTTAACTTGAAAAAGACCAGCTCAAAACATTGAACAAGAAGGGAACCTTAGCTTAGACCTTCATGATTCCCTTAACCTCATCTGGCAGGCAAACTGACTTGGTGGCAGTATGAATCTTTCTGCTGTATCCAATTCAACGCCCCTTTTAGAAATGCAGTAACAGTTTAAAATTAATTAATAACATGAATTAAATATGAAATTATAAATACAATACTTTCCCTGCTCTCTCTCTGTTCAATGTTAAATTTGATGTATTTCATGCTACTTGAGTAATTTCCATTTTCAGTACTTCACCAGTTTTATCTCTAGGTTTCAGAATTAATAATCTCTTAAAATGCATAATATCCATTCACACCTCTTAGCTATTTCTTTGCCCACCCACAGATTTGTGTTAACATCACTCTTAACAGCCTGTGCTTAGATCACTTCTTCACAGTACGTAATATTTTCATCTTTCATCGGAGACAGTTCTCTAACACTACTTGTTAAGTAGGAATTCCTCTTCTCAAATTATTTGCCTTTTACTCAAATACAGGCAAAAATATTGTAACCTTGTGCAAACACTAACCAAAGAGCTCCAGACTGCACTACTGCATGGACATCGGGAACTCCAGACACTGGGAACCTCTCTGCACTTCCCAGCAGAGGATGGAAGTGGGAGAAAAAGGAGAACCTTCCTATGGCCAGGTCATTTTTTGTTGTCAGCATAAGCCCTGTCAGAAGAAGTGCTCCTCCAGCACCCCTGCTGCAGTTACAATACAGTACCTGTGGCTCTTAGGGTAGAATACTCACAGCTGGAGAGGGGGGTGCAGGGGAGGAGTGGAAGGTAACAGAGTCCTAATAACCTAATAATAGGAGGATTCTGAGATATTACAAATTTCAGATCAGGGAAACACTTTATGAATCAGAGAGAAAGAAGTGGCTTATTTCTAAGCAAACTTCTGTTTATATACAAATAATTATGGCACAGTTGTGCACTTGAGCACTGGTTTTAGGCAAATCTGCTTTCTGTAATGAAAAAGCAATATGGTAGAAGTTACTTTCTACTCCATCCCTTCAAACAGTAGAGTCTTTGTCTTGTTAAAATATTATACAGTATGTAATCCCATTAAGACCATGAGGAAGTGGCAAATTTGCCCTTTAGATGTTGTTATTTTTTTAATTACATGGATTGTAAGTTTTCCAGATCTAAACCCAAGCTGCTAGCGCTTTATTTTTGGATAGTCAAACATGAAAGGATTATAGGTAATGGCATTACAAGGTCTGTGCAGGGGTGGTGGGAGAGGTTTGAGTGAATCTCTAAGAATTTTAAGAGGAATATATTTAGCCGGTTTAAATAATGTAATTTTTGTGCAACTTTGGACTGTCCCTATGACAACAGCTTGGTGTTTTTTCCTCTGTTATTTGAAGTATTTCTTAAGTCACTGAGATCATCTTCTGCGCTTAAATCAAATTTTAAATGATACTTTTGTGAAAAGCTTTTTAGTCTTTCTTAATCATCTTTTTATGTGATGCTGTTAGTATGTAGTTATCTTCTGGATTTTGGTGATTGGTGCCTTCAAACACATCTCGATGGAATGTTTTCTTTACCCTGGCACATTTGTGTTGCTTTCAGCTTGCTTAGAGGCAGTTTGGCTGTTAAACAATTTCTTCCCTTGAGGCAATACTGATTACAGTTATTTATGACATCGTCTCTGAAAGTGAGTTTTTTATGATTCTCTGAGGCTCAAATTTATTCTCAGCAATTTTCTTCTTTTATATATTTCCTTCAATTAAAAAAATGTTAGAATGAGGTGTTTATAATGGGGATCACGCTCTGGTTACAAATAAACTTAAATCATTAAGCCAAGTGGGTAGAGCAACGCAAGATGTGACATCCATGGCTTGTTGCCTCTTTGAATGGCGAGTTAGTGGCATCTTACAGGTCTAAGTATGGGGAGCTCCCTAGATGCAGACCAGGGCTGAGGTGTGTATACCCCATCTCATACAAACCATGCACGACCCATTCCAGCTTGGTGGCTGGTGACAGCTATGGGACAAGTGACCAGAGCAAAGGAAGCTTCCTCAGTGTTGCTCCTTTTGTCTATTCTCATGTGGAAAAGGAAATTGGGACCACAGAGGCTGTTGCAGCTGTTTATTAGGGGTGTTCAGTCTGTCCCCTCTGGGGTGTCTCCTTATTGGTGCTGGAGGAGCACTGCACAAGCAAATCGTGCATTTTGATCTGTGACCCTGAGGCTGGACGCTTTAAGCTGCTGAAACTGTAACTTGTCTCACTGTAGTGACAGCTTCCTTAGGAACACTAAGGTACAGAGGTTTGCTCTTCCCTCCTCTGAAGACAGGAAGCCACTCGTTCGAGTCTGATATGCTGTAATAACTTTTGGACACTAAGTAATTGTGAGAAAAGATGTGCACCACTTGTTTGCAACAGCTGATAAATAACTGACAACTTTTCTCATTTTATCAGCATGATAATATTGCCCACAAGACTGCTAATTTTCCTAAAACAGCTCTTGTTTTTGCTGGGTTTTTTTCCCCTAAAACTCAGAGTGTTGTATCAAGGTTGGTGTCTGGTTATACATGGGAATGTAAAGGGGTGTGGACGAGAAGCTGTTCCTGTTGTTCATTGACTATCCCCCTTTCCCTAAGGTTTTTCGTAACTGCTCAGTGCAGTTCTTACCCCACTCAGCTCATAAGAGAAAGTGTCTCCATGGACGGCTCTTCCATTCAGAGCAACAGCATGAGGTCTCAGTTTCAGGCCAAGAATCGTAATTTTGTTGTACTTCAGAGTGTCAGCCCCTCGGTAGCCATTTTTAAGTATTTCTGTCTTCAGGTTTCCCTGGAAAAAGCCACAGAGAAAATTTTAGGAGCATAACAACCTTCGAGAGGTGACTTACCCCATATTGTTACTGCTGTGGCCTCATCTTTGTCAGTGAACAGTAGAAAATCTTCCAATGTAGACATTTAAGTCTGAGATCATAAAGGAAAACCAAGTCACCTTAATTTTCACGTAAGAGAGATTTCGTGTATGATTATAAACTAACAAAGTAAGAAGCAAAGTAGCATTTACAACATGCATCTGGAATCTTCTTGGACATGTTTTTTCTACTTGTAATCAATGCAAATTTGGTTCCTGTACCCATTTGCAGGATACAGTGGCATATGCAAAGCCAAAATCCAGGTACAGAGATTCGATTAGTGACCTTAAGGCAGATTTAATTAACACCCACAACTAACTGCTTTAAACTGTTAGCATCTTCCACAAACATTAGCTGCTAGATATTTTGTCCCTATTTCATGTCCCACATCTCCACAGCTCCTGCTAGAAATTGGTTATGTGTGTCCCAGCTTTAAGGATACTGAAGGAACCCCATATGTCCACAGAGTTTTGTTTGTTGTATTTCTTATTTACTATATATTGTTTATGAAGAGATGTACCAAGAGAACATATAAAGTCATTAAACAAATTCATTTGGATCACCAGTGACAGTAATTTCCTGTACGAGCAACGAAGAGAAATCATTGCATTTGTTATGTGATCAAAGTTGTTAAGGAAATAAAGATGAATTACACTGCTTAGGAAACGATGAATTGCTATGCAATCATGACTTTTTAAAAATATGCCAAGGAGAAACCCATGATGGAACCTTTTGCATAAATTAGCTTATGCTATTTCAATGGTGCGTGGTAGGAGGGGAGCAGGAGCACGATCACAGCATTTGTATCTTAGGGGTGTGCTTAGACTGCTTATTTCAGGCATCCACACTAAAAATAAATGCTAATTCCCAGCACACTGTTTTAAACTGCCTAAATAAGGAATGTTGGCTATTACGGAGCAAATAGGGAGAGGCCTCTAAAAGCCTCTGGAGAATTTGTTACGGTACTTACATATGGTGTCTTCTCCCCCTCGGCAAAGCTCCAGCACAGAGGTAGGTACGGTGCAGAGACCACCTCCCTGCGGGGATTTATTGCTGTCTAGGTGTGGCGAAGCAGGAGAGCTAGTGCAGGGTGGCCACACAGACCCCGTAGGCTCAGTGTGATGCTGAACCAAATGATTGCAACTGCATTAATAAATAAGGTTGCACTCAAGCTCTGGGGCCCTGGGCTGGGACTCTGCAGTAGACACAACTGTCCTTCTGACCAAGGTCTAGAACTGAAGGTCCTGGGGAGACAGGGAGGTGATGTTCCAGGGGTATGAGTGACCCTCTCCTCCTCAGGCATCTAATCGTTCAAGCAATTGCCCAGGAAGGTCCTGAGTTCCTGTCAGAGGGAGGGAACTTACAGATACCATTCAGAGCCCCATAAAAGCAAAGCAAAAACAAGTCTTGGATCCCAGGCCAGGAGCCAGGACTTCCTCCTGTACTGCTGTGCAGCAGAGGCAAGATTTTTCTTTCTTACTGTATTGCTCTGGTCCTATGAACTTCACTTCCCCGCTCCCCTCTCCACACCATTTTCCTCTTGAAAATTGGACCAGTTTTAGGAGGAACTTCCTCTCAGACTATTCAGATACCTAGTGGCTAGCAAATTCTTTCAAAGCCGAGAGCCGTTTCCTTGGGAAAGCTTTCCTGTCACCATCCCTTTAGTGTAGTCTGGGCTCCCTTGGCACATTCCAAGCACATCTGCCTTGTCTGCCACCTCTGGGGATGGAGGCAGATTTTATAGATCTCCCTGCTCATGACTGAAGTACAGCAGAACTTACACATCTGGCTCACATATTATTTCTAGACAGGTGGGGTTAATATATGGGACACTGTGACTTAGGTCGCTCAGCCGTTAGCGTGTTGAAATGGAGGTGTCAAGTGAATGAAAACACCAACTGCAGTGAGTCATTACCAGAGAGAAGGTAGCTTGCATCGTTCTCTGAGACTTAAGTTCCTGCACTAGTTCTGAATTCTTCTTTGTACTTCTGGGTTGTTTAGATGAAAATATGAATGAGAGGGTCTAATTCTGTAGCTGTTCCTTGCACAACACTCTGTGCTGGATAGAGTAAATGCTGTGATATCAGACCTTATCAGTAAATCTCTTAGGGAGCAAAACTTGTGTGTTCTCCTAAAACTAGGTGTGACTAAATTATTCACCCACAATTTTTTAAGAATATAGAAATGAGCAACAAATACCAAGACTTTAATACATTTCTCATACCTCTACAATTTGCTATTTGAGATGGATTGTTTTCTTTATAAACACAATAAAAAATCGACATTAGAGATTATTGGAATGCAGATAGGGACTTCAGTCATGGATTTACAGGCAGAAGTCATATATGAGCAATGAGAAATGGAAGTGCCAGTGAATCAACAATCTAATTTGCACAGATCGGAATTTAATACAAAACTGCATATTGTTTTTCTGTAGCCTTCCTGCAATAAATTACTACACACAGACTACAGAAAGCCAAAGTGATTTTTCTTCCTTTTTGCTGTTGAAATACCTTTTTTTGAAGAATTTTTTTTTCTTGGTAAATCAAGAAGAAAATAAATTACAAATTAAATTTAAAGTCTAGGTATGTGGTGTTAGTTCCAGGAGAATATCTCATGAATATACAACACTATGTAATAAAACCCATTGGCTTACCCTGGCTTGCTCTTGCTCCTGCAAGACATACATTCTAAGATCAATATCACAATATGAGTTAACACAATTTTATTCTTTTTGATATTTTCTGTAGGCTACTATGGGGCTTTAAGGAATACACAGCATGAAAATCACAGAATCATAGACTTTTTAGGTTGGAAAATACCTTTAAGATCATCAAGTCCAACCATAGACCTAATGCTGCCAACTCCACCACTAAACCATGTCCCTAAGCACCACACCTACACATCTCTTAAATACCTCCAGGCATGGTGCCCCTTCCCCGGGCAGCCTGTTTCAATGCCTGACAACCCTTTCAGTGATGAAATTTTTCTTAATGTCCAATTCAAGCTTCCACTGGCACAAGTTTCCTCTTGTCCTATCACTTGTCACCTGGGAGAAGAGACCAACACCCTACAATCTCCTTTCAGGTAGCTGTAGAGAGCGATAAGGTCTCCCCTGAGCCTCCTCTTCTCGAGGCTAAACAATCCCAGTTCCCTCAGCTGCTCCTCACAGGACTTGTGCTCCAGACCCTTCCCCAGCTCCGTTCCCCTTCTCTGGACATGCTCCAGCACCTCACTTCTTGGAGTGAGGGGCCCAAAACTGAACACAATGTTCGAGGTGCATCCTCACCAGTGCCCAGTACAGGGGGACAACCCCTGCCCTAGTCCTGCTGGCCACACTGTTCCTGATGCAGGCCAGGATGCCACTGGCCTTCTTGGCCACCTGGGCACACTGCTGGCTCCTATTTCAGCTGTTGACCAAAACTATGCCACAGTCTACTTACAATATCCTATTTCTTACCAAATGCTATTAACTGTAGACAAAATATGAACTGTAAAGATTATTGAAGTATGTTAACTCCAACAACTTATTATCATATACTTAGTAGGCTTCTAGTAGTTTTATTTTATAAAATTTTTCTCAGTTGAAGCCTAAACTGTTTTTTTTTTTTCTATTGAGCTTTCTCAGGACATGTCTGCAGAAGTGAGCACTGTGTGAAAGGCATTAGTGCACAGACCCTGAGCTAATCTATTCCTGTGCTGCACGGAGCATCTGATCAGCACGGTGGGTTGCCGGTAGCGTGCTGGATCGCTCTGCAGGCGACCAACCATGGGAGCAATCTCTGTGCTGTCAGACAAGGAAATGCAAGCTAAAAAAGTGAGACTACATAATTCTTTGGCTCACAAAATAAAAACTTCAAGTGGTCTAAGTTAAAAAGTTGCTGGGATATCCTAAAGAGAGCCCATGACTACAAGTGTTCACAGGAGGAAGAGAAGACAAGACAAATGTCCTTCATCCCCAATGCAAGCTAAAAAAGTGAGACTACATAATTCTTTGGCTCACAAAATAAAAACTTCAAGTGGTCTAAGTTAAAAAGTTGCTGGGATATCCTAAAGAGAGCCCATGAAGTGAAGTGTTCACAGGAGGAAGAGAAGACAAGGAAAATGTCCTTCATCCCCAGAAGCTGCTAGTCAGAAAAAAACCCAAAACAAAACAAAACAAAACAGAGATGAAAAAGTGGATTTTCAGATTCACATCACAGCAGGGACATTAACGATGTGACACTATGATACTCAATGAAGCAAACACAAAGCTGCAGCATCATAGTTGGATTTTTTTGTAGCTGTCTGTAAATGAAAGGAAAGCACTAGGTAGCTTATCAGGTTTAAAGGCTGAGCTGTAAGAAAAAAGGTCTCCAGAGAAAAATTAGACATCAACACCTTACAATGGCTGCACCAAAATACAGCTGCCTGCATGTACGTAGGTACCTTGTATGTTGCTACTTACTCTGCTGTATGTGTATTTAGCCAAGAAGTAATTCTCTGTTTCAATAGTGTCTGTCAAAACACAAAACGAGGGTTGGTATCAAAACAGGGAGCAAAATCCATAAGCAGTTCACATAAACTGTAGTGAGTGGCTAACGTCAGACTAAGATGATTTGTGGGCTATTTAATCTCTTCCTCTAGTCTTCTTGGGGTGATCTCTGGGAAATGTAACACGAGTGATTGCCCTCTCCAGCAGACTAGCTCTTCCCAGTGTCACACCATTCTCATACCAAAACACTGACTTGAGGACCAATCTGCTTTTCATCTCTGTAACCTTCAACTGGGGGTCAGTTCTCCAGCTGTTTCTAGCATGAGCCAGTGCCATTCTACTGCTGGGAAGGTGGCTTAGGAGAGCCCTGTATACAGACACTGCTTGCCTGTGGGGGCCAGGCTTACCGATTGAATCACCATCATCCCAGAAGAGAGACCCAGAAGCTTCTCCTTGTTCATCCAGGGCAATAATGAGCCCAAATGGGTTCAGGCGGCTGTTGACAAACATGTTAAGTGTCAGCACAGACTTGTGAGTACCGTCCCTCCCAAGTTATTCAACAAAAACTTCCAAACACAATGCCAATTTTAAGGTTACAAAAAAGACCGTGACAGAAGAAAGACAACTGTGGTCACCAAAAGGGCTCCTGAAATGATGATGAAAACTTTGCCTTGCCTTGTACCACTGAAGTGTAAAATTCCCACCTTTTGTGTGCTCGCATGGACAAGTTTCCCCTTTTATAGTGGCCTTAATGTGTAACTCAGCAGTCTGGGAGGCAACTGGTCACCAGTGCTACCAGTTTAGACTGATTACTGCGCAGCATTCCCTTTCTTCCCTACTCACATTAGCTTCTGAGCATGGTTCAGACTTGAGACCATGTATTACCCATTGGCATGAAGAAATCATTTTCCTGAAAAGAGATTTGAGCTTTTCCACCTTGCCCATGGCATTTGATAAATTCGACCAAGGAGAAGAGTTTTGCCTTTTTCCTTTGCACATGTTTACTTTGAATGACTGACAGCAGGTCAGCGTGGCAGTAAGAGGTGCAAAAGCCTTTCTGAACATAACCACAGAGCCAGGAGTAGGTTTCAGCCTTGCAAACGATGACAAGGGTCATCTCTGGGGTGACTTCTAATGCAATGGAGCGAATCGCGGAATAAAAATACTGCACTTATTGCCTGGGATGGCAGCTGGGAACAGCAGATAGCATCTCTTCTGCACTTCCTTTTGATTTTTTTTTTTCTTTTTTTGGCTGTCTGTGGGTCTGACCCCTACTGTGGTTGTTTGGTAATAGATATAGATGACATTACCTCTTAGTAGTGGTTGTGGCTGGTGCCTGTTCTGGCAGGATGTAGCCTCCACGGATGAACAGAGGGATCTTGCTCAACGGAGCAGCCACAGTAGCATAGTTCTTGTTCCAGGTACTTGGCACTTTAACTCCCTACCACAAAAATCAACACAGCTAAAATCCCAAAAATTTGTGCACTGTACATTGTGACTATATACTATGGAAAATGATACCAAGGGGTACATTTTCATCTCAATTACATCAGTACAAAAAAGCGGATTTCAGGGGTATTATTCAAGTTCCTTTTTTAACATGAAAGAGGATCTGTCCCCTGCAGTTATGCATATGCATGAGATAGAAGCATGATGAATGAAAGACAGCAAATTCTTTAAAATGGTATCATTATTCCATTTGCTGTGAAAAAAACCCCAAAATTCATCAAGACACTGAGCAAAAAGCGAAGAAACTTTTGCTTCCTCTCTTTATGCATATAGAGCCTGTCACATTCCAGTTTAAAGTAAATGATTCATAATAATTCAGGAAAGTAAACTGTAAATGTTCTTTTTTAAGGACAAGTCTTCCCCTTTCAGAAAGTAATTGCAGCATTCAGTGAGAGAAATTTGTGTACGTGTAGACAACCAGCATTAAGTTATCTGCATCATTCCTTTCTGGTTTAATGCCTCAAAACCAGGTGTAGGCAAGGCTTACGTACCGAGCAGATCACAGGAAGTCTTTGCTCTTGCCCTCTGTAAATGCTAATTATAATTTATGGTAAGTACCCAGCCTTGTTTTGGGTAAGGACCATGTGCATGGCAAGTACATGCAGATGCTGGGAGCTAAGCTTTGCTCATGCAGGGGGCATGTCCCACAGACAGTGCAAGGGATGCTGGGCCTGCCACCCCCACACCCTGCCCAGCCATGGGGCACTCAGAAGGAACCAAAACAAGGAGAGCTGAATGAAATGCTCAACCTTGCAGTGCCACAGTCTTACGAAAAAAGAGAAGTGAAAGAGTTGGGTGAACATCCATCTGAGGACACCACCCAAATTCTGAAAATGACCAAACTTCTTTAAAAATAAGTCTGAATTTCCTCTGAGAGCCTTTCTGTCCTGCTTGCTCTGCTGCCAGCCACACTCAGGGTAGTTAACAACAGCCTGAATCTCCTGGGCTCACATTTCTAAAAGGTCTTAGCATCAGCCTAACTACTCCCTCGGAAGTCAACACTAGAGTTATCCTGCAGATTGCAGCAGAGCACAGTTAGGCTGAAACCGAGCACTTTTGGTAATGCAGTACTGGGGATGGTGTTTGAAAGGTCAAAACTAGTAGTCCCTGAGACTAGAAGAGGGAGGCTGGCATTTTCCAGAGAGCAGATTGTTCTGCATCTCTTGGAAGCATCTTTCGGAAGGGAGCCTCACCCTGCTCTCTAAATACGCCTTCTGTCCAAAGTGGTGCAAAACTGCATGCCCAAGGTGCTTTGCAGTGTGTTCTCAGGAGTACAACTCAGGTTTCTGTCTCTGTTTCCATGCAAGGAAGTGTATCAGTACAAGGATTAAAACATGCAATAAGTGGGGAAAAAAAGAAAGAAAGAAATCTTGAGAGTTTAATGAATTTCTAGGTTGCTCTTGAAAATGCAGTTCTCTGTGTCTTAGAGCTTTACAAACCAAAAATAGAAAATAAAATGCTACTGAAAGCTGTATAATTTACTCTCCCAGCTAGCCTGGTGTAGACTTTTTGTGCTCTAGTTTTCTTAAACACAGATGTTGAGGTAAAAATGCTGCCGAACATTGCTAAAAGTTATTTTGCTGGAATTGTATGATCTTAAATTATGTAAAAAGATGTAAGAAACTGAATCTTAAAAATACATACGGTATAGTAGTCAAACCATGGTGCTTCGGGGAAATATACGTCCACAGATCTTGCTCCCTGTAATTGTTATAAAGTGATTAAAGTATTTTTTCTTTCTGCATTTCTGATATTACATTAGCTTGATTATATTTGTGCATGGAGAAATATATGCTGAATATCCTAATAACATCAAATCTTGGATATTATGGCTGAGTTATTATCATAGCAGTGGACTAGTGCTGGCTAATCTGTAATGCTAAACAGATGAGCCTATCCTATTTGAGGGGGTTTACTGCCATGCCATGGGATGAGTCAATGTTATATGATTATTTCGGTCTAGTACGTAGCTCTGTGCCTTACAAATATAGCTGGCCTAGGTGCACTCCCCTAACATCTGAGCAATCCCAGTGAGGACTACAGCAGCCTTTGCAAGACGGGACATTACAGCTGATGATGGAGGGGGAACA